CTCAGGTAGTGTAGATTCAAATTTGTTCAAATCATGACCCCCGGGGGTAGGGCGGGGCTGCAATGGAGGATCAAAGTTTAACATAGAAATATATAAAGGAAAAATCTTTAAAAATCTTCTTCTTAAGAACAGCAAAGCCATGATGAGTCATATTTGTGTGGAAGCATCCTCAGGTAGTGTAGATTCAAATTTGTTCAAATCATGACCCCCGGGGGTAGGGCGGGGCTGCAATGGAGGATCAAAGTTTAACATAGAAATATATAAAGGAAAAATCTTTAAAAATCTTCTTCTCAAGAACAGGAAAGCCATGATTGGTCATATTTATATGGAAGCATCCTGAGGTAGTGTAGATTCAAGTTTGTTCAAATCATGACCCCCGGGGCTAGGGCGGGGCCGCAATGGAGGATCAAAGTTTTACATAGAAATATATAGGAAAAATCTTTAAAAATCTTCTTCTCAAGAACAGCAAAGCCATGATGAGTCATATTTATATGGAAGCAATCTCAGGTAGTGTAGATTCAAATTTGTTCAAACCATGGCCCCAGGGGGTAGGGCGGGGCCACAATGGAGGATCAAAGTTTTACATAGAAATATATAGGAAAAATCTTTAAAAATCTTCTTCTCAAGAACAGCAAAGCCATGATGAGTCATATTTATATGGAAGCAATCTCAGGTAGTGTAGATTCAAATTAGTTCAAACCATGGCCCCAGGGGTAGGGCGGGGCCACAATGGAGGATCAAAGTTTTACATAGAAATATATAGGAAAAATCTTTAAAAATCTTCTTCTCAAGAACAGCAAAGTCATGATGAGTCATATTTATATGGAAGCATCCTCAGGTAGTGTAGATTCAAGTTTGTTCAAACCATGACCCCCGGGGGTAGGGCGGAGCCACAATGGAGGATCAAAGTTTTACATAGAAATATAAAGGAAAATATCTTCTTCTGAAGAACTGCAAACCATGATTAGTCATTTTGATATGGAAGCATCCTCAGGTAGTGTAGATTCAATTTTGTTCAAATGATGACCCCCAGGGGTAGGGTTGGGCCCAATGGGGGAAGGAAAGTTTTACATAAGAACATATAGAAAAAATATTTCTTCTCAAGAACAGAAAAGCTATGTTTAGTCATATTGATATGGAAGCATCCTCAGGTAGTGTAGATTCAAGTTTGTTCAAACCATGACCCCCGGGGGTAGGGCGGAGCCACAATGGAGGATCAAGGTTTTACATAGAAATATAAAGGAAAATTTCTTCTTCTGAAGAACAGAAAAGCTATGTTTAGTCATATTGATATGGAAGCATCCTGAGGTAGTGTAGATTCAATTTTGTTCAAATGATGACCCCCAGGGGTAGGATGGGGCCCAATGGGGGATGGAAAGTTTTACATAAGAGCATATAGAAAAAATATTTCTTCTCAAGAACAGAAAAGCTATGTTTAGTCATATTGATATGGAAGCATCCTCAGGTAGTGTAGATTCAAGTTTGTTCAAATGATGACCCCTTGGATAGGGAGGAGCCACAATGAGGGATCAAATTTTTACAAAGGAATATATGGGAATTTTTTTTTAAAAATCTTCTCAAGTACAACAAAGCCTTTTGTTATATTGACATGGAAGCATCATCAGGTAGTTTAAAATTCAAGCCCCCCCCCCCCCCCCCAGTCTTTTCAATACTGAACTGATTGTGCTTTTGCCTAGCCAATGTGCTCAGGTGAGCGATGTGGCCCATGGGCCTCTTGTTTAATTTCTCTCACAGATGACCTAAGCCAATTAGGTGAAAATAACACAGAGGCCAAAATATCCTGGTTTACAGTATAAAGAAAAGAAAAACACATACAAAATGTTTTCTCTCAGGATATGTTCTAGGTGTTGATTTTTCAGGTTTTCATATGATCTGTATCTTGTGTAGATGGATCTGAAAGTTGTTTCATGACTATAGTGCAAATGGCAAATGTAAATGAAAATACATTGTTTCATTAAAAACTGAAAGAAAAACTAGCTAAATTACCCATGTACTGGCTTGCTGACACACATCTTTTCTGTCAGGACTGTGTGTAAATGCTCCATAACCTTCAAAAGATGAAACAATATTGACTTCTGCACAAAGCACAACAAAAGACAAAAACAGATGATTAATTTTAAGAAAAGACAGATTCCATCCCAAATCCCATGAAATAATATAAATGTATACTTACCTTTGCGCTAATAAAATTCTCCCCATAACAGTACTTTTTGTTGAATTTCTCATACAACAACACAGGATTTTCCATAAATTGATGATGCCGTACATGATCAACTTCTTCACTGTAGAAATACATTTAAAATGAAACATACAAACCTGAATTTCAATAAAAATTAGTATAGTACTTAAGAGACCAAAGTATTATTTCAAGCATCAAGTATCTTAACTATATACCAGTCTTTCATAGTGCAGTTCATAATCTCCTTCAAGTATGCAACAACACTGTTCACCTGCAGATTGCATGGAAATAAAATGAAATTAATACATGACAACACTGAACTCAAGACAAGAATGACAACACTTCTACTATTTAACAGCAACAAGATAATGTTTTAATTTTTTGAAAACTATATATATTCTATTACATTTTACAAATTATGATATACATGTATAATAAATGATATTCTATTCTACTCACATGACTGTTTATGAAATCTGTTTGAATTTCTGAAAGGAAAAGATCATCAGTATTTACACTGTGTGCGATATTTAAAATTTTTAAAACAAAATTTTATTTTTAAAAAACTTTGATATGAAATATTGATCACTCACTGTTCTGGTTTGATACAGCCTCACTAACACCATCAGCATTGAAATCATCTTCATCATCCTCATCCTCATTATCATCTGTTCTGTCCATCTGTCTGTTCATCACAACATCATCTTCTCTGTTCTCAGCAATAACAATGATGTCATCTTCCTTCTCATCAACATCATCATTAATGACATCTGCATCTGCACTGACTTTAAATCCATTAACTTTCCTTCCAACACTTCTTTCTTCAACTTCTTCAACACCACCTTTTTCTACAGCAACAGCCCTGTGTCTTCTGAATGCAAATTACAATTATTTCAATAATCATATGTCATTGAATAAATTAAAAGTATAAAATTATGCATCTTATTTTATAAATTAATATAACATTAATTAAAGATTAAGTATTAAAGTATAGAAAACCAATGTTATAATAAACAATTGTTGAAGACTTATTGAGACAAATACTACAAGTGAAATATATTGACACAATTGTCTTAAAAAGATATTGATGTTAGAATTTACATAATTACTCACAAAACATTATCCTTTACAGTGTCTTCTGGTTTTCCATACCTGAAATATTCAATTCATACTTTACAAATTTATTATACATGTGGTGCAATATGAATTTCAGAGTTATTTTCCCTTTGTCCACCTATAGTACTATGTATTAGAAATGGCTTAACAGTTCAACAGTAGATGTTCAAATGTTAACAGAGGGTTGACCACAAGCATTGCGAAGTGCAGACAATTAAAACAGATAACAATATTTCACCCTAAGAGATTTATATGGCACGCCAAATTTACAAAAATGAGTAAAACCTAGTTTCACAATTGATAAACTAGGTTTATCGACTGTAAACTATAGTTTACAAATCGTAAACTATAGTTAACGATTCGTTAAGTATAGTTTTCATCTGTAAAACTATATTTAACGGTTGTTAACTATAGTTTACGAATGCTAATCTAAGTTTATCTGTCTGTAATAAGCGTTAACAATAGATTTTGTTGATAAACATAGATTCACGTTTGTAAACTATAGTTTACAATCGTAAACTATAGTTTACAATCGTAAACTATAGTTAACGGTTGTTAATCATAGTTTCACAAATCGTGAAACTATATTTATCAGATCGTTAACTATAGTTAACGGTTTGTAAACTATAGTTTCATAAAAGATTTAAAGATTTATTACAAAAATGACCTAGGAACTGTTCCCCCATTTTCATTGGGAAAATGGAGCCTGGTAAGTAATATAGCTTACACAAGTACATGCATGGACAATGAAGCAAACCCCAAATGAAGAAGTGTTCGTTTTTTTAAAATTGTTTTTTTTGTTGTTTTTTTCCCTTTCTTTGGTCATTTTGTTTTGTGGATTTTCTTCTTTTTTTTTTTTTTTTTGCTTTTCAAAAAAATTCGAGTTCAATTTTTATTTTTTATTTTTTGGAAAGGCTGTGGAGCAGCCTCCCCTTCATATTAAAAAATATTTCTGGATCTACACAGGAGATTCTGTCAATTACCTGTTGCTTGCAAAAGCTGGTTCCCAATTCCTCGTCTAATTTGATATAGATTATCTGGACGACAACTAAATGTTAGAGGCAAATCAGATATGATCAGCTCAGCAAACTATTAACAAAATTTAACAGTGAATATATGATAAAAGGGTAATAAGTGATTTCCAATAAAAAATTATTGACTGCAGGGAGTTTAACATATCTTTTTTTTTCATTTAATCAAAACATCACCAGGCAGATAGATAGGCATTAGAGAATGAAGAGTTTAGATCTAGTGAATATTTTTCACCTTTACAACATACACTCCACAGGAATTAGAATCATACTGCTTTGTATGTTTTATTGTTTCCACTTTCCAGCCATCCTCTGAAATTTCATTCACACCTCTTCTCACTCTACCAAGTAGGAATTCTCTAAACAAAAATATAAAAACCAACAGCCATACAATGCAGTATTTAATAGAATGTAGCAATCATTAAAACTACTGTAGAGCACTAAATTTTCACGACACCTTATTTTTGCGAGATAGACATTTACTTTTTATTAGTGAGACAAAATTTTCACATATTCTGGTTACTGATTAATATAATCTCTACCAATACTTATATATGCGAGAATGATATTTTCGCGAGCACATTGTCTAACTACGCTAGATAATGTGCTCTTGAATATAAAATAATTTACAGTATTGCAATCTTAAATAATATTTACCTCAATTTATCTCCAATATCTTTCATAGTTCTCTTTAATTCACCAAGTGGATTAATGTAAACCAGTTTCTTCGTACTTGGATATACCACCTGAATGTGGAAAGACAGAAACATGTACAGATACTTATTTGGATTTTATGAGAATTTCAATGACTTAGTATTTTCTTTAAATTGTTGGAGGGAAGGTTTGGTCACAGTCATCAAACATGGCATCAATATAAATGACCTTGCAAAAAGCAAAACATATCTTGAAAGTAAGTTAAACCAAACCCTTTTTCTTACACATGTATAATCCTTGAAAAAATATAACAAAGGTACTTATCAGATATACAAGAACTTAATGTCCAATTTAATAGAGTTAAACATGTATACAACTGACAAGTTACTCATAGATCAAGTTTAAATTGAGATTTACTAGTTTTAAAAAGTATACAAACTATAAGTGTCCAGTGGCTGTTGTTTTCATTGACAGCAGCAAGAATCATGTCATAACTGGAGAATTTTGTCTGTATGTCCCAAATGAAATTTAAGAAAAACATCAATTGATTAGCATTACTAAGTTAATGCTTTATTTAGATCAATTATAAATTTTCTAAATAATACTCAATGTTTTCATTAAAAGACATTTTTATTTTTTTATGCATACACAGGCACACATTATCAGAGAGAGAGAGAGAAAGAGTTACCTGTGTCATGTACCCATGAAAATTTTCTGATATTCCTTGAAATATGGGTGTTGCAACTGATGAATCAATGGCTAAAAGCTTCTTATTCTGTGATATTATTCCAAATAAGCAAAATTAAAATATGCAGACAATAATTAACAATACATCAAACAAATTCCAAATACATGTACTAAATAAAACAAGCATTTAAAAACTATAAGAGATTATTAACATCAAACAAATTCCAAATACATGTACTAAATAAAACAAGCATTTAAAAACTATAAGAGATTATTAACATAAAACACAGCTAATTCTAAAGATTTACCTTCTTTGTCTCTGTTAGAAGATGTAAGTATGCATCTATTACCTAAAAATGCATTTTGTGCATTATACAATTGTTTTACTATAAATTGATTTAATCAGAAAAAAGAGGGAAAACTTAAATTTGAAAAAAAATATACCTCATCGGATAGAGAAGTCTTTAAATACCCAATTGAAGTGTCTGTGATTTTAAAACTGCCAATTCTTGCAACTAAATAATCTGATGGTTTGATCCTCCAAAGAGTGTCTACATCAATGACTGGACTTCCTTTGTTTTGATAGGCCATGCTTTGTTCGGTAGCAACAATGTCATTCTCATGGTTCCTATGTTGGTTGCTGGGCATGTCATATGTCCCATCAATAATTATAACATCATCCTCTTCTGCAAACTGGACACAATGTTTTTCATTTAATTTCCTGTATTTCTTTCTTAATGGTAGATTCCCTGATTTTCTTTTTAAAGATGGTCTTCTACATTTGTCTGTACTGTTGAGTGGTAAGCCTGAATCTTTCTTTATTTTTGATGCAGTGAGTAATTTTAGTTCTGTTATTTTGTTAGAAATTTCCTGCAGGTCTAGACAATCATTAATCAGGTATAAGTCAGACTGTATATCTTTCAGTCCACCTAAAGCAGTCTGTAGAAGAATATGAAGTGGTGTTTTGGGTTTATCTGGCTGTTTTTGGCATGACTTTTCCGGGCTTTTTTCCTTTGATGTGCCTTGATTCAGTGGAATATCTGTGTCTTGATTCAGTGGAATATCTGTGTCTGGTGTGTCATCTTGCAGAGATGTATTTGGACTGTCAGGAATGCTATCCACGCACTGCTGTATGATGCTTTGGTCTAAAGTAAAATGTGGACAGGTCTTGTATCCATCAGGAAGGTTATCCCAGCTGCATTCTGGTAAGGACATCATCACTGCAAGCATGTGCTTACATGGCAAATGATGTCTTGAGTAGTCAACACAGGTACATGTGGGTTCAATGTCCGAAAATATCACTTGATATACATTGTTGGAGTCAACACTATGCACAGCATAGGCCCTGTCTTCAACCTCCTGTATATTTTCTATGGGAATAGTTTGAATTTCAGGTGGAATTCTTTTGATGCAGTGCTCGACAAGCATCCTAGGTTTGTTGTGTAAAAATGTTGGAACACATGATGAGTACTTCTTGCAAAACTCAAAACTCTGAATATTGTAATTGAGATAACTGTAAAATAAAATAAAATTGTATTATTGCCACATCTAATTTCAAATACATGTATACTCTTTTCAACATCTTATCCAACCGGAGAAGTATGTATATTAATCCATATGCATGTACTACAATGTGAAAACATCACTAAGGCAAAAAAGTCCAAACCAATAAATCTTTCATATTCTGCAACTATACAGTATATAGCATAAAACTACTATTAAAAATTTTGGGTTTTTTTTTGGGGGGGGGGGGTTGATTCAATGCTTTTTTGTTTGTTTGTTTTTTTTGTTTTTGTTGATTTTGGGTGGGGGGGGGGTGAAAGTTGGAATGAAAAAAAAACATAAGAATTAAATACCTCCTGTAACTGTCAGGTAAGAAACTGGAGACCAATGTTGCAATCATGGTGCAAAGACTACCTTCACTGTAGTGTGACAGGTAGCCTCTTTTGAATTCCTGATGCTTCCTCTCTAAGCCATTAGTTGTTGTAATTCTTATGTTGTAATTATTTTCTCTGAAAGCTTTAACCCATCTCTGAAAAAAAAAATCAGCATTAAATTTGAAGAAAAGAAAGGCATTTAAAGCAGGTAAAAAACAACTTAAGCAAAGCTTGTTGCCAAGCAATAAGTAAGTCCTTCAACAGAGGATGAATGTAAAAAAATAATGCTCTACGAATCATTCTAAAAAAATAATTTTCAAACATTTTGAACTTTTTTATAATAAGAAGAGTCATATAGTACTAATGTAAAAGTGGGATGCATCATCTTTGAAATAATCTTGTTCCACTTGTTCCTTGAAATCATATTTATATACTATAAAAAAGGGAAGGGTAATAGGAAACAGAGCAAAAACAACAAGTTCTGAAGGAATTCATAAGACTTTGCAACAACATTTTTTTTCAATGAAATATCATGCTTTTATCTTAGTTGGTTTTAACATCCATTATGATCAGTTTCTTTATAGAGATGTTACCTTGAAATCAATATGTTTCTACTGTTTTTCCTTAAATCTTACATGTGAAACTGATATCCACTGTTTTTCAAACCACCTCTGCAGTTGTTGATTATTCTGCCAGTGAGGACTTTCTCTTAGCCTGTCTAGAGCTACTTTGTAGTCTGTTTCTGAATCGGCAATAGCTAATCCTCTCATTCTGTAAAAATATTAACCAAAAATAATAATAACATTACACATTTGCCAATAATTCTATCATGAGTCATTCTCTTTAGATTTTTGCATTACAATATCTATGAAAATAATGGTAACTTTTTTTCTTTTGATTAAATAAATATATGCTTAAGAAAATAAACTCACAAATAAATATGACAATAAGCATAATAATTCAATATTATCATCACGTGTACAAGTACTTACAGTTCAATAACCTCATCCTGATTTGAACCAACACCATGTTTTATTTGCTTCAACCACCGTGTCCATGATTGTTCACGATGAAAAGAACAGAGATATACAGTACATTCTGTTAAAAAAAAACTATTTCATTAATTCAACAGAATATTAGAGGATTTCAATGGCTAAATTATTTGGTTTACAATGTGACAAAATTTACTTGGAATAATAAGAGTACATATTTTTTACCTTCAAATACTTCCTCAACTGCATGGATTTCCCTTTCATCATAATCTGTCATGAAATACTTTGGAGTCCATCCTGGATTCCATTCCTTAATTTTGTTTAAACCCTCCTCAATTGACTTTTTAGTTTCCGTTGAAACAACAAAAGAACCACATATGGAATGCCCAACATTAGTTTGCACACAAATGAAAAAGAGAGGGAGGGCATACTTTGAGGTCTTATATGTGGCATCCATGATGCAAATGTCTCTCCCATACAAGCTTAAAAGTCGTCTCTGCCAGGCGGTCTGGTGAACAAACAGGAAGTCCTCTGATGGAATGTTACCATTGGTAGTGGTATCATACCTGTGTGTTTGAAAAATACAATACATACAATGGAAACTTATGTATTATTTTGTCAGTGATACTTTTGAAAAACTTACGACGTCCTAAGAAAGAAGTTGTCCTCAGGATAACTTTCCTGCCATTTTTCCACCAAAGACTCAAGGTTCTGCTGGTCATCTTTGGAAAACCTAGAAGCAATATAATTATCTAACATCAGAATCTGGGATTCAGTTGAATACATACTACTTACAATAGCACCAGTGAAACTCTAAACCATATGATAAAAAAATATATTCTTACTTAAGCTGAGCTTTGATGGAAGATAAATATTTCTAAGACTGTTATGTTTTAACAACTTTACTTTAGATAAGAAATACAACATGTACAAAAGAGGAACATTTATAATTCAATACTTCAAGCTGTTAATGGCAATATCCATGTGGTTTTTAATGTCCTTGTCCAGTGGAAAAAATCTTCTGTTTGTTCTTGGGATATCCTGATCTGGACATAAGTCATTTTTCACAGAGATTAGTAAGTGCCTCTTCATTTCAGAAACATTTCTCACCCCATCGGCAACAAGTTCTTTTATGCGGGTTACTAATCTCTGATCAATACGTTGAGTGAATCCTGCAAACTACAAGGGACACATTTTGTATTATTTGAAATAATTAAAAAAGAAATTTGGAAACTTTATTTTGAGAATGAAATATTATAATATACAAAGTAACTATAATTCTGGTTACTGATCATCAACACTTACCTCTCCAGTAAGATGGTTTTTGTGGTCATTGACACTTGGATATGACACCAAATAAACAAGTGATTTTTGAATTGTGTCTCTGTTTGCGAAAGCTTGTTTGAGATTTCTAGATATCTTCCTTTTCATCAACTTATTGTTGTATGAATCTACCTAATTTAAAAAAAGACCCAAAAAATTATTTAGAGACCCAAGCAGTACAACCCAATTCATGTACATTAATGAAAAAAATGATAAATGTACCTTGAAATCAGGGAATTTCATGATGGCTCTAATTCTTATTGTTGCTGGACAAGCTTGCTTTTTAGACATTTGGATTTTCTTACGTGCTCTTCCTTTATTAGAGTAATCATGGTCTCCAGGCCTCTATCAATGAAAACACTTACAATATTATAAGTTTGTGAATTCGATTTGGTTGTTCAGTACCTAACATTTGGTGGAGGTATTGTTGTTATCTTCTTTCTCTAAATTGGTTATACTTACCTTATAATTGTGAATGATTAGTTCTTAGATCATACTGTCAGTAAATTACTTTTAACATCCAAACATTTTAGCAAGACTTTCTATATGTGAATTTTTTTTTCTCATGTATATTATTTTTTATGATGGATTACATACAACTTAAATCAAAATTCATGCAAATTTTGTTTTGCTTATAAAGTGAAATAAAAGTGGACATCATGAAAATTTATGATCTTCATGCAGTACTTTGTGAACTTCTAGAAAGGTCATGACCAATAATACATGATTGGTAAAGATCTCTCAATCACAAGTTATTTATACTTTTAAAACATATTTCAGTTATTTTTACTGTACTCTATCAAGGTTAGTAATAAACAAAAAGTATTGTCAAATATCATTTGAGCCGTCCCATGCGAAAAGGGCCCTTAAGGTAAAAATTTTCAAAATTGACTTTTCAATGGATTATGATAGATTATAGTGTAAAATAACCAAATATAAAGTTTGATTCAAATATTCAGAATAATTACTGAGATATAGGGAATCAAAGGTTAAGAAAATGTTAAAATTACCTTGAAAAATGACGTTGAAAAATGACGTTCAAACTGACGCTTTTATATCCCTCTCAGAAATATTTGAAATATGTATCTGATTGAAAAAAAAACTACTTTATCACACGGAAACATACACGAAAAGTTTATGCATAAATCCCCTGCCTTTATTTTACATGTAATATTTGATATAGTTGTTTTCGTTAAAGTATATCTAAATTATATACTCGTTGTTACTGTGTATTAGTTTAATTTTATAAAGAAGAGGTATTTTGGACTCTGTATCAGACGTAAGTTACATATATGTACATTTTTAGAGTGTCGACATGTTTGCTTAAATGTCCATTTTGGTCAATTGTAACACACATGATTTAATAAATCCGATAAAAAAAATTCTTTATGTAAGTTTTCTCATAAATAAAACACAGATAATGGTTTTATATCGGTAAATACCCGGTATGCTTTTTTCTTTTAAACACTTGCGACGTCATGTTAGACGTGAATATTGCTCTGATATACGGTTCAGAGAAAAGTAAATATTAAATAAAAAACAAACAAATAAAAGACATGTGTTTAGATATTTTACATACTTGAATTTTATATATTTGTAGTTTATGAAAAATGTTTTTTTTTAATTTTAAAAAGAATCTGTAAGATAAGACTGATAACACTGCGTCTTCCTTGTAATTATAGAGTTCATTGTTTGATAATTTTTCATCATAAGGATATATCTTTTGTTATTTTATTCATGACCTAGATGAATTTATGAAAGAAAGCTTGAAGGGCAGATACAAAAAATTGATCGGCAAGGGGGGGGGGGGGGGGATCTGCAGTAACACAATCCAGTTAAACTTTTCTGACAAGTTAAAGAATGAAGTTTGAGGAGGTTTTCTGACAAAATAAATGAAGTTTACGGAAGGAGGAGGGGAGGCAACATGTACCTACAGTACTGAACATACATGTATTCATTGTCCTACATTGGTAAATATTGACACAAGCAATAATAAGTGCCGAGACAATCCCTTCCCCCTTTTTCATGGGTAATGTATGTTTCTTACGATATTGTACATATTAGACCATCTGTCAAAATTGGTTGATTGCTCTCTCCGACCGGCTAAAAATGGCCCGACTCAAAACTCTTTTTAACTGCCAGGAAGCATTTTAATTTATTGCATTTCGGAAAATAGATTTTGAAAATTCAGCATTGATATTAAAATTTTCTGGGGAAAAAAATTCGCACCTACCTACCGACCCAATTTTTTCGGCCTGAGTCGGGAGAGGGCATGCAAACATTATTTTAAAGTTGGTCGTATTCCCTGCATTATTGGCGTAAAACGTCTAAATATTTGCACCGCCTATTTGCACTGCACCGACTTATAAGCGGGTCAATATTCATACGTCTTGCAGTGAACATGTAATATCACAAAAACTGAGAATGAGGATATAATTTTCATATTATCATCATATCCTTTTACGGTCATTATAAGTTCAGATTATATTTTGATGTTTGAATTTTTTTTTATGTCACATTGATTCATCATGTACCCCCCCCCTTTCGCTAAATTTCGTTTGAAGAAAAAGAAATCAAAAACTTAGGCCTACATATTCTTCCATTCATTTTGTGGTTCTCAAATTTTGTGGAAGAATGACCGCTTAGTTTGGGTCTAATATGATATGTCGTTGATATGGAAAGAGGGAATGTTGGCAGTGAAGTGAGTGGCGCTGCAGACCAAAGTAGTAGTGCCGTATTCCTAGGACTCTTCCCGAAATCACATATTATAAATCTTAAGTAATGAGTAAATCAGTTTCCGATTTTTTTTAAAGCTTTTAACGATGGACAACAATTTTAACTTTCATGCGGGAACACAGATGGAAGTGGCCAGTATTTCGTCGGACCTTCGCACACATACAATTTATACACTGGTATATAACAGAGTTCTTTGACAACAATTAGCGAATTGAGTGATAAAATGACATGTGTTGAGTAAATTACAAAGTCTGTGAAAAGCTTTGGTAAGATGGACATGAAAGAAGTTTAAAGTGTTGAGGGCAATTAAATTAAATACAGATTTGTAATTAAAATTGATAAAAAGAATATATGTTTTAAATAATATTCAAACTAAGATTTATCTCAAAAGTCGATATATAGAAGTATTTATCTCAGATTTAAAAAAAATCAAATTTTCTTCGCTGACACTAATAACCTGTCGACATGTTATACCTGAGGTCTGATAAATTTATACGCATTGGATATTCTTGTATCATTGTTGAGCACTGCCATTTTAGCTCAGTTTTCTTTTGTCGAAAAGGGATTAACCCCCTATGGAAATACATTTTTTCTTTGTTTTTTTTTTTTTTTTTTTTTTGGGTTTATTTTTAAATTGTTATTTTAAGCCCCCCTCCCCCTTTTCAGAAAAACGTTGTTACGTACATGCCTAAAGAAATGAACAAATATGATTCATTAAGAAAAATAAGCAGTCATTCTTCCCATTTATCAATTCAAAGATTAAACTGAACTTGTTGCAAACCTTCCTACACAAAAATGTTTCTATTCTCGTAACCTTTAATTCAGACAAACACTGCATTTTTGGAAGAAATTAAAAATAATAATCAGATGCAATATTAGAGGGAAATAAATCTGTATTCAATCTTGCAGATTTAATTTCCCCGTATTATGTTTTTGGGGTTTTATACATAATGAGCAGACGCATTAAATGCAGGCATGTTGTATTGGGGGGGGGGGGGGTCCATACATAATATTTTACTGTTGATTGAATAATATAGAATGAAGATGTTCACTGAATGACTAATTGCACCCACCTCTAATACCCCCCCCCCCCCCAATTTTTGTAGGAAACTCAAATCTTCCCATATAATGCATAAAAAAATGGTCATTTTTTTTTCTTTTGCAGCATTTACTTTTTTCTCATTTTTTTTTCCGCCTGGTCCAACAGTTTAAACAAATATTACTAGATTTTATTCTCAAATTTGGAGAAATATATATCGTAGCAAACACAGAAGCTAGGCGGTCTCCGTAAACAGTAAAATTTGGTTTTTTACTTGAATGAAACAAACACATTGACCCTCAATCACCGTGACAAAGGCAGATCGTCATTTATTGCGTTTATACACACAGAATAAATGTTGTTTTGAAAAAAAAAAAATTAGATGTTTTCTTCATTAAATTTAATGCTTTACAAAGAATCAAACTTTTTCAAACTTCGTCATTTGCTACATGTAGAGCTGAACAAAATTTTAATCGCATATAAAAACCTATATGCTGGGAACGGTTTAAGATTTTTTTTTCATTTATTGTTCATCATTTCACTTCGGTTACTATGTATTTGTGTTATAAAGATGTGTACATGTAGAGGTATATATCGAATATGTGCATGTACAATCGCTTTCAATGTATTAAAAATTTGATAAAAAAAAACTAGCACCTAATTACATCAGCAAAATTTAATATTCAATATTGGAAATGTCCATTTATATGGAACTTAGTTCTAATAATTCATTTTTTCTTATTTTTCCTGATATTTTATATTCTAAATGATATAAACAACAATGAAAATAAGTTGATAGCGCTCAGGTAAAAATGTTGGAAAAATATACGCAACTTGCATTTTATGACGTTATCTTTACCGGCGTTTTTCTCATTATGACGTCAAAATACATAAGGGCCCTTTTCGCATGGGACGGCTCATTTAATTATAATATGTAGATAGATCATTAATTTTCATAAAAAATTTAAATGGTTTATTACTCCACAATTCTTCAACCAAGAAATCAAATTCCCTTGAATCAATTATTTTTCCTTCAGCCACAAAAATTTCACCCCTTCAAAAAATATTTCAACTTGATTATACAATAATATCTGTAAGTACTTTAAAATAAAAGCAAGATAAATTACATGTCTTTGTTTCTTCTTTTCCTTTGCTCTCCTCTGTCTATCTGAACAATGGTGACATTCTTTTACCATCCATCCTATGTTCACATAAGGAGTGCCATCAAATTCAACAGAAGGACTAGCTGTTTCTTGACAATCTTGCCAAAGAATTTTGTGACCCTTTAAAGATGTAACATCTGTAAAAAGTATTTTTAAAAAATGTGCACATAATTTTTCATATAATTAAAAAGCAAAAGCAATTGCAAAACATAGTAAAAAAATTGAATTTAAAACATTCCAGTCATGTCACACTGACTACGAGTACCCCCACATAGCAAATAAATAGCCTAGGGTATGAATGTCATATTGACAGGAAGTACTCCATAGACTGTATCAATAGCCTAAGGTATGAATGTCATATTGACAGGAAGTACTCCATAGACCGTATCAATAGCCTGAGGTATGAATGTCATATTGACAGGAAGTACTCCATTGACCGTATCAATAGCCTAAGGTATAAATGTCATATTGACAGGAAGTACTCCATAGACCGTATCAATAGCCTAGGGTACTGGACTCTTACATGTCATGTAGTACTCAGTAGGCAGTATCAATAGCCTAGGGTACTGGACTCTTACCTGTCATGTAGTACTCAGTAGACCGTATCAATAGCCTAGGGTACTGGTCTATTATCTGTCATGTAGTACTCAGTAGACCGTATCAATAGCCTAGGGTACTGGACTCTTACATGTCATGTAGTACTCAGGAGACTGTATCAATAGCCTAGGGTACTGGTGTCTTACCTGTCGTGTAGTACTCAGTAGACCGTAACAATAGCCTAGGGTACTGGTGTCTTACCTGTCGTGTAGTACTCAGTAGACCGTAACAATAGCCTAGGGTATTGGCTATTACCTGTCATGTAGTACTCAGTAGACCGTATCAATAGCCTAGGGTACTGGTCTTACCTGTCATGTACTACTCAGTAGACTGTATCAATAGCCTAGGGTACTGGACTCTTACCTGTCATGTAGTACTCAGTAGACCGTATCAATAGCCTAGGGTACTGGTGTCTTGCCTGTCATGTAGTACTCAGTAGACCGTATCAATAGCCTAGGGTACTGGTCTATTACCTGTCCTGTAGTACTCAGTAGACCGTATCAATAGCCTAGGGTACTGGTGTCTTACCTGTCCTGTAGTACTCAGTAGACCGTATCAAATCAATAGCCTAGGGTACTGGTGTCTTACCTGTCATGTAGTACTCAGTAGACCGTATCAATAGCCTAGGGTAATGGACTCTTACCTGTCATGTAGTACTCAGTAGACTGTATCAATAGCCTAGGGTACTGGTCTTACCTGTCATGTACTACTCAGTAGACCGTATCAATAGCCTAGGGTACTGGTCTATTACCTGTCCTGTAGTACTCAGTAGACCGTATCAATAGCCTTGGGTACTGGTTTTACCTGTCATGTAGTACTCAGTAGACCGTATCAATAGCCTAGGGTACTGGACTCTTACCTGTCATGTAGTACTCAGTAGACCGTATCAATAGCCTAGGGTACTGGTCTTACCTGTCATGTAGTACTCAGTAGACCGTATCAATAGCCTAGGGTACTGGTCTATTACCTGTCCTGTATTACTCAGTAGACCGTATCAATAGCCTAGGGTACTGGACTCTTACCTGTCATGTAGTACTCAGTAGACCGTATCAATAGCCTAGGGTAATGGACTCTTACCTGTCATGTAGTACTCAGTAGACCGTATCAATAGCCTAGGGTACTGGTCTATTACCTGTCCTGTATTACTCAGTAGACCGTATCAATAGCCTAGGGTACTGGTCTTACCTGTCATGTAGTACTCAGTAGACCGTATCAATAGCCTAGGGTACTGGACTCTTACCTGTCATGTAGTACTCAGTAGACCGTATCAATAGCCTAGGGTACTGGACTCTTACCTGTCATGTAGTACTCAGTAGACCGTATCAATAGCCTAGGGTACTGGACTCTTACCTGTCATGTAGTACTCAGTAGACCGTATCAATAGCCTAGGGTACTGGACTCTTACCTGTCATGTAGTACTCAGTAGACAGTATCAATAGCCTAAGGTATTGGTCTATTACCTGTCGTGTAGTACTCAGTAGACAGTATCAATAGCCTAGGGTACTGGACTCTTACCTGTCCTGTAGTACTCAGTAGACCGTATCAATAGCCTAGGGTACTGGACTCTTACCTGTCCTGTAGTACTCAGTAGACCGTATCAATAGCCTAGGGTTCTGGACTCTTACCTGTCATGTAGTACTCAGTAGACCGTATCAATAGCCTAGGGTTCTGGACTCTTACCTGTCATGTAGTACTCAGTAGATCGTATCAATAGCCTAGGGTAGTGAGGTCAATAGCCTTGCTCACTGGTTTAATATCTGTGTAAAAGTTTTTTGTGGATTTTTTTTTTATCGGTAGCCTTTTAGCCTATTATATATTTTTTCAATGCATGTCATGCATACCTCTTTGTAATAATTCCATCGTTTTCTATATTCTCATTCAATCGTTTTATTTTGGCAAAATAATTTAGTTTACACCTGTTGTTTTCAATTAAATTGTACCTGTTGTTGGAAAAGAACAGCATACTTCGAAATATAATGTTAATAATCTTACACACACAGATTTATCGTTACGTAATATTATATTGTATAGGTAGTTATAATCGATTAATACTTCTCCTTACCATCTCCTTCTAGTTCAAAGTGTCGTTTATTGCTGATTCTCTGTGTGATGAATCTTGCTGTTGTTGTTTTTTCTAACTCTTCAAGAAATGCTTGTATTTCTTGGTAGTTCTTAAACTTTCTGACAGCCGGCATGGTTTTGTTTTGATTAGAAACCGCGCGAAAATGTCAAAGTCATTTCTTACATTATTATATTCGTATGGGAAAAAACTTGGATATAAAATAATGAATTGCTTCTTATTTGTATATAAAACAACAATTCAAACGTTGATTAAACTATTAAAAATGATAATAAAGTTTGTTTTCATTCTTCTTTAATTTATTGCGGATACCGGATCTGTTTGAGCTGACCGACATATTTTTTCTCGTTATCAATACCTCATGAATATTCATAACTACGCTAGGCTCGTGATATTTAGACACAACCTAACCACCCGCCTGGACCCCATCTAATTTTTTCTACATGTATCCGTTGAAAGAGGATGTGACCCTTCATTTGAACAAAACTTTACCAAAAATATTCTGTGTTAATTTTCGTTTTTATGGTCCAGTGGTTCTTGATAAGATAAAAATGAGAAAAATTTACGAGTAGCTTTAGAACAACAACGACGATAATGCTTATATACACCAATATAGCAAACAAAGATGAAGAATTATGAACAGCAAAAGCTTACTTGGGTCTTTGGCTTGGGAGATGAGATACTTATTAAAAATTGAAATTATTTTGTCATTTTTTTCTTTTTACAATCGACGGGCCTGCATTTCAAAGAGAGAGAGAGATAATTTCTAGCTAGGTCTTTGAATAACAGTGAGATCGGTTCAGAAACCCAGGTCCCTAAGAATGTACATGTATATAAAAAAAGGCAGTGCCTTTCTCTCGGAATTCATCACCTGCTTCTATAAAGCTCCATCCTCACTTGTACTGACATGTACCTGGTAAAACCAACCGACTGCGAAGGAAAACATTCTATTTATTTCGAGGATGGGGGTTTACGTGTAGTGATGAGAGGAAATTTATTCACCTATACGTTCATTAAATATGAAAGATTGCTTCTGAGTATTTGTATACGATCGCACGACTTTCGTGATAATTTATAAAAAGATTATGAAAGCAAAGAACTAAACTAACATTTGTTGTAGATGAATTAAATAATTATTTAGCCGTTTATTTTTTTAATATCTGTAAGAACCACTTTATATTAAAAAACAAATAATCGTCCTATTATTGGCGCCCATGATATATTAGACTAGGTGTTTAAATAAAACATAATTCAGATATCGACATCCAAGAGAACAACACATTCTTTTTCAGTGGCGGAAACAGGAATCTTGAAAGGGGGGCCCGACCAGTTTTGTGTCGGGGTAGGGGCCCAAAGCCACATTATAAATTGATTTATTAAATCTTGTGTATATTTTGGATACAAAAGGGGGCCATGGGCGGATATAGGATTTGTGATGGGGGGGGGCGTCGATAACTTCGTTCAGGCAGGGGGTCTGGGGGCCGCCTTAAGGCCCCCAGTGGGTCCAGGGCAAAGCCCTGGTGGTGGCCCAGGGCGCGAAGCCCCCGGAAGCTCCTGAGTTTTCGTGAATTTTAAGAGTCAGTAAAACCAGACATAAAAATAGTTGTATTGATTACTTCCTTTACACAAAAGCCTACAAGATATGAATTAAGTTTGTAACTTACAATACTCTAAAGTCTTTGTAGGAATTTCACGTCTGCTTAAGAATAATGTACAAATTTATTAATCATTTGATAATTTTTATTTCAAATTTACTCTTGAGAAAGCAGAAACTTTGTGTATCTCCGAACTTCGTGAATCTCCGAACTTCATGTATGTCAGAAGTCGTTCTGAATCATTATTATTTCAGCAAGGATGCTAGTCAACCTGATATTTGTATGTAACTCTAATGTTATTCCAAAAAGTGTTGTTGTTTTTTTTTAAATTCCATTCACTGACCTACACATGTATCTCCACCGCAGCCAACGAAACAATATAAACAAACTCGCTGTAACGTGCAGTTCCCTTTAAAGCAGTATGAAATAAACGAAGCACAATGATACACAAAGAATATCTGAAAAATTAAATATTGCAACGTTTGTTTTTATAAGTATTATACATATATGACAGATACACTGTAGGGTAGGGTGGTGTAATTTCGACCGATTATTTTTTTATATTTAGATTTGTTCAAGTATGTCACTGCCTATTACATGTATTACGCTCAACATTTACTGGATTATTTTTCCTTCGGAATACCTTTTATTGTTCAGATTACAGTGTGTTATATGTATTATTCGTCATGATATAAAATAAATGTGTTCGATTTACAAGATATGTGTGTTGGGTAACTTCAACTGCACACGGGGTATTTTCGATCGATGTGCAAATATAAATGAAATTATTCGCGTCATCTCTAATTTAAAAAAATACATATATATTAATCTAAATTATTCTGTTGTAAAACATAAAAGATTGTGAAAAAATGCTGACAAAAAGAAAAAAAAGCAATTTTCAAAATGTACCTAATTTGAAGACATTAAGTGCACCAGGTGCCTAGAGACTAATTTACCGATTTGTCAAGGCATGCTACAAAAATATATATGCGCAGGCATCTAAACCGCATGTAAACAAAACAGATGATTTTTTCCACGGTTATAGAACTAAGTTTCTACGGAGTATTCTTGTACATAATACTTATCCTAATACTTTTTTTATACGGATGGTGGTCATGATTTTTTTCTGGTAACAAATAGCATTGCGTCATTTTCATTGGTCGAAGTGAGTTACCTGCTGACGCCGTATTCATGCAAAGGGTAACTTCGGCCGATTTCTGTTCAGCTGATTTGCATTTTATTTGTAAAAACTAAATACTATAAATTTAAAAGGTATGAATTTAAGATGCAAATTTAAACATAGTTGATAAATTTCACGTCAGGAATATCCACTGTGTCTTTCTGTATATACAAGATATTTTTAGAGGTGATAAACTGATAATTCCCCGCAATGGTTTAAAAATACTCGTCCGTAATTTTTCGGGCGATAAAGTTTCTTCTTGGATGTAATTTTCCAGTAAAGAAATAAATTTCGCCTATTATTATCAACATTGATTTGTATATGAAAAATGCATTTTCTTTCTGCATAAAATAGATGTGTGTACACTATAATGGGTTATAAACAAATTATTTTAAGGTATTTATGAACAGTCGAAATTAACCAGGTGGTCGAAGTTACACTCGTCTGTGACCATCCTAACCTATATCCTGACGTTAAAAAAAAGTCTTGTATCTATGTAAGTAAATTACTGCATAGTTACACCATTTGATAAATAAATACATCAATCAGTGGATAGGTTTGTAACATAGACCTTCTGATTTTAATTTCATTTATTTACCTCACTCGGCACACCTCGGCCGATTCGTACCTCATCTGGATGAAGGTGACGGAATCAGCCGAGGTTTGCCGAATGTTATTTACCCCAGCCTTTAAATATTGCAGTATTTTTCTTTGCATCATCATAGGAAATTGACAAGTGCTGTATACCCTTCAAACGAAATCGGGAGACGTTTTCCGCTTTGAATAATTATGAGATAATATTCATAGCCTAGCGAATGCAAGGTTTTCAGACTTGATTTTTAAGAAAACCGATAATTGGTCATAAAATAAAATTACCATTTTTTAATTGACCATTAATTATAAAACCAAAGTATGGCATTATTAATATTAGTCATGTCATATTTTGAAAATTTTAGGGGGGGGGGGGCGTGCGCCCCCAAGCCCCACTTAAATCCGCCAGTGGGGGCAGGCCCCCTGAACCTCCTCTAAATCTGTCAGTGTTTTCTTTCATTATACGGACTTGCAGAATAAGCGAAATACTCCAGACATTTAATAAAAATCTCAAACCCGATCTAAAACGCGTTGACAAATTCAAACCAGACGGTTTTAGTTTTTACGGCATTTTTACAGTGATATGAGAAAAGTCGGATAATTGCTGTTAATTTTAAGAAATAAAGTTCGGCATTTTTCAACCTCGTTCGGTATAATATAATTTACTGATATTTTTTTTCCGTTAAGGAGGAACACATGGACGAAGGATAAAAAAAGAGGTATTCTGCATGTACATGTACACATCATTGCTATAATTGAACCCAAAATCCTTCGTTACATTGTATTTGGGTATGATTTTCACATGTTCTCAGGCGGATAATCATCTATTTTTATCTGTCTAAAGACAATAATTTCAGTTAATAGAGAAATGTTTTTATTTCGTCGTTTTTTCCCCATCCTTTTGGTTTACACGTTTGCTTTGTACACAAAAGCGTGTGTTCATATACCGCTGTTTCTACACGCTATCGATGTGATCAGGGAGAACATGATATCCTCCAGCAATTTACTTCTTATGAAAACACTCAATGAAAACATATTAGGTGAAAATATATACACCCATTAGTATCTTAGTACCTTAGTATCGACCTGTTTAATTGCAATGTCACCAACCGTAACGATCGCTGGCCAGGACTTGAATATAATTTATTACCGTTATTAAAACAACTCGTCAGCTGAGTGGACCTATGATTTAAACAGTAAAATAGGGAAATCCCAGAGTTCGAAGTGTATTTATTTTGGGCGCTCTTCCGCATAAACAAATTAAATCGCATTTACGCGTACTTACATGCATGTACCAATAATTTGTGTCATGGGTAAATTCAATTTATTAGATGAAATAAAACAAATGCATAAGATTAATCTTCCTAAACAACACGTTTTTAAAACAATCTATCTGATATAACTGACGGTATAAAATAACAAAGAAAATAAAGGGTTTGTGTTTGTATTTAATTTGGAATGAGAACAAATCTTAACCTGTCAAATCACTTATAAAACATACTTCGTTTTCCAGACGCTAATTGCCATGCGTAATCTTCACATGCACTGACCAAGAGGTCACAAGTTTGAAATGTATGGCTTCTCATTGCGTGAGTCTTGTCAACACATGTCGGAGGAGACTATCTAAGCCAATTGATTCCCAAAGAAAACTGCATAGGAAGGGGGTTTTTTTGGTATACTTTTTAACGGTTAAAATTCATTCGACGCTCGATAGAATTTTCAAATACAAGTGAAATATTGAGGCGGTTA